CAGAATACAACTTTACGATACACTTATTTTCCACAGTCGCGCTATAACAAACTATAATAACGACGTTAACAATACGTCTCTCTCTGACTCCAGTTCAATTACTCATTACCTACACACATTATTCCGTCACGTTGTCACCCTCTTATATATATACCAGGCTACCCTATCTAGTAAATGCTAGGGCATTCATGAAGGAACAAGATAGTTCTAGAAACGTGGCGTCACACTAGTCATGTGATTTTGCTGACGCAACAATATGAAATAACTATAATCCAATAAAACCAAAGTTAAAAATTAATCTTTACAGAAAATAAACTTAAATGCAATTAAGCTGGATACTGTGTGTACTTACACTTAACATTTATGTTGGAAAATTACAGTGATCTTAAATGTGTTTCGAGAAAGCTTTATACAATGTCGAAAAAAGTAATCTTTTGGCAGTATTGTTTGCATTTATTCACAGGATCAATGACAAAGATCAGTAAGGGAGGTTTATAATATTTTACTGCAAATGTGCATTGTGTGCAGTTTGCTCATATCATGTGAAAATGTCATATAGAAGACCAAAAGGTTTATAACACCACTTACCCTAAGTCATAGTTATGAATATCAATAAATAAACATGTTTGTTGAGACCAATATTAAGGCATTGTAAAAAATAATTAAAGGATGGTAAAAATTTGTAATATTTTAACTATGATGAAGTAAAAGTACTTTTATAAAATAATGTCAGTTACCGGATTCAATTCCTTTATGTTTATATTAAACTTTTCATGATCTGTAATATATGTTATATTCCATGTTATATCGAATGCAAGTGATTAGTTATTCAGCCTATGAACATTTTATGAATATGGCTTTGCATATTTACACTTTATGAAATTTCAGTACAGTATGCAACGTGAACAGCAAGGACAGCTTGTAATGTTGTGTTCTTTAAAACACAGTTAATGAGATTGTAAGATATTCTCAACACTCCTCTGAAAGAGTGTTTCTAAGCCATCTTTAGTGTCTATAGTCATTTGTTTGTGTTTCACAAGAGCATACCCTGCTTGGTTTGTGAAATATCTGTCAAATGAGGTTGCAGGCCACTCTCACTTAATTAGTCTTCACTTCTTCAAGGAATATATTAACCTGCTTAGAACAGTGGAGATGGATTTTTTCTTCCTTTATGCTGAATTCAGGGCCATTTGCATCAGCATGTGGCAGCAAGAATCATAGGATGCTGTTCCTGAAATGTGTGACTTTAATGATACCATTTTGCAGAATTAGACTGGTACTTTCACCAATAGTTATTCCTTCCCACATGGGGGTTTGGGGGGCATCCATCAGCACCAACCACTACTGATTCCCCCGGGGCTGACTTGTTGGTAATATTCTTCTTACACTGGCTCCTCATATGTCCTAGCTCTCCACAGTTCCAACAACCTTTCTGGATAGCACCCTTTCCTGCTGTGGCATCCTCCCTGTGTTGAAGT